TAGAACTACCATATGATCTAGAAATTCCACTTCTGAGAATATATCCTAAGGGAATGAAAATACTATGTCAAAGAGATACCTGCACACCCATGCTCACTGCAGCATTATTTACAATCGCCAAGACAAGGAAACCCGTGTTCATCAATGGATAAATGGATAAAGAAGTTGTTACATGTATATACATGACACAATATCATTCAGTCACAAAAAAGAAGGAAATCCTGCCAATTGTGACAAGGACAGACTTTGAGACCATTATGCTAAGTGAAATAAGTCAGACAAAGAAAGACAAATGCTGTATGATCACTTATGTGTAACTTAAAAACAAACTCATAGAAAAAGAGCTGAGACTAGTGGCCGCCATAGGCAGGGGGAGAACTGGAGGAAGGTGGTCAAAAGGTACAAACTTCCAGTTATAAGATAAATAAGTACAGGGGATGTAATGGACAACACGACAACTCTAGTGAACATGCTGTGTGGTATATCTGAAAGTTGTTAACAGAGTAAATCCTCAGTTCTTATCGTAAGGGAAAAAAGCTTTCAATACGTATGAGATGATGGATGTAAACTAAATTCACTGTGGTATCATATCATTATGCTATATGATATAAGTCAGATCTTTGTGCTGTGTACCTTAAACTTACACAGTGTGCTATATGTCAATTATATTTCAGTAAAACCATAAAAACTTCCAAAATAAAACAAGTTACTAGTAAGAGTAGTACCAAAGAGAAAAATAAGAATTCATCAAAGAAGGAATGCTGTCTAACCTTGAGCAAGTCCTAGAACCATGTTATCTGGACTGAGAAATAGCCAAGCAGCCCATCCTGTCCTGTCAGCTCCGCAGCAGATGCCCCATGTGCGGTGTGAGCCCTCTCTCTCCTCTTCAAGGGCATTAACTCTGAGTGTCTGTTCACTTCTCGGATTCAAGTTGGACCTTTTGTCCCCCCAGGAGCATTCATACCTCGATGTAACGAGGAGGGCTATTACAGAGCCACACAGTGTCACGGCAGCACAGGGCAGTGCTGGTGTGTGGATAAGTACGGGAACGAGCTGGCCGGCTCCAGGAAACAAGGCGCCGTGAGCTGTGGTGAGTACGCACAATGGCCTCTGATGACTTGTAGGTTCTCACCGTGTAAGGCTCTGGGCACCAGAATTTCTAGAGGTCGCTGAGGTCTACAGTGAGAGAGTTTACAATGCAGACACAATAACCCTGACATCACATGAGATGAAGCATAAGACCTGGCTTTTCGAGTGGCAGGAACTCACCATGACTAGTGATTTGCATTAACAAGAAGGTAGAAGCATCTCTAGAATTATGGGGCTCACATCAAAACAGAGCTTAAGGTCCATGCCACGCAGACTAGCCCCACCGGGGCAGGGATGATCCCATTTTCAGAAGGTAAATGGCATGGTTTTGCCCTCCCATGAAGGAGGTAGTGAGGCACGAGCAGAAACTAACCTCAAATCTTTTCTTCCTTCCTGATGTTTCAGAAGAGGAGCAGGAAACTTCAGGGGATTTTGGCAGTGGCGGCTCTGTGGTCCTGTTGGATGACCTAGAGGATGAGCGGGAGCTGGGCCCACAGGACAGACTGGGGAGGCTGCGGGTGCACACCCGGGCAGTGACGGAGGATGACGAGGACGAGGATGACGACAAAGAGGATGAGGTCGGGTACATATGGTAGTCCCCACGAGGAGGAGGATGCGAGCTCTGCACACAACTGCAAGTCACTTCCTGTTCCTGCGTTTGTATCTAAGACTCCACGGCCCATGGCCTCTTCTCCATTGTTGCCCTCTCTACCCAACCTAAGGTTTGGAAGACGACTCCTTGTTCCCAGAGCATTCTGATTGATTTTGCATACGGTGTGTGGGAAGAAGGGTGTTGGGTTTTCTTTTTTAGACAGAGGAATGGCTGGTTGAATTAGAGCCTCCTTCCCTCCCGTGAGTTTTTTGCAACAAGCATGTGATGTATGTGGGATTCTGACAGCGCAGGGAGCCCCCACCCTCTAAACATCAAAGACCCTTTCCATCACCCACACCGGTGGTTATTACAGCATGGTTCCCGGCCTTACCGTGTCTAAGTGCTTTTCTTGTGTCCTGTAGATGTTGTGGAAAACACACCACACTGTACCTTTCCCCCCTGCCCCTCCCCACCCACCCTGGTGTTTATTATTACACATTAGTTTTTCACATCACTCGATCTGGCTTCCTACAAACAACAGCCTTAATTCAGTTAAGAGTCCCTTTGGGGAACTGATCTTCTCTATTAAAAGATACTTCTCTCTGTACGTGCATCAATATTTGAGTCTGTACAGAAGAGACTGTACACACCTCTCAGAAAAAAGGGTTTGGGTGTCTATTGAAAATTCACTTGGAAAAAAATTACACATTTGTCAGTATGTCCAGACCTGGGGTCATAGTCTGTGGAATAGGGAATTTGTACCGAAGTCCTTTCTTTGCACTAACGGCTGGCACGTGTAGCCTGCAGGCTGAGGAGGCTGCTTCTCTATGCAGCGGCAGAGTTACCGGGAGCCTCTTTGATTTGGAGGAGCCTCTGTCTGCCTAAATCACTTTTCTTGCAGAAGCCATGTGACTCCCACGTGGGCAGCCTCACAAGCCATCTCTCTCATTTCAGCTCAAACCCTCCCCTGGGCTGCAGCAGGCCTGTCTGCGGCACGTTCCTCCCTTCCCTACCTACTCAAGGGCTTTTTCTAAGGCATGTCCACGTACCCCCTGCTCTCCGGGAAGGTGGAACTATAGTGTTCCATAGCAGAAGAAAATTCAGGATTCTTAACTCGGTGTTTCAGTTTGCCCCTTATCTATCCATAAATCGTCATCATGATGAGGGTACAAAAGCTGTACAGATTTTTTTTCAATCACTCATCATTTGTAAAGAATCTCAGATGGAGGCCTAGAAAAGAACTTCAGGGAAGCACATGAGAAGTAGGGTTGGATTTTTAAGAGCTAGTCTGTGCCCCACCCCACCCCCACCCAAAGCTGCATCAAGGTACAAATGAAGAAAGCCCTTCACCACTGCGTTTCTTTTTCCTAAGGAAACTCATTGTCCAACTCTAGCTCCAAGTTTGGTAAGGTCATCATCTCTATTGTCTTTAGGATTTTCCTCTCCCTATCAAACTGGCCCAGGCACAAGTACCAAAGAGTAGTCTTCAAAGTGGCCCCATTCAGTTCAGTACAGGGCCTCAAGCTCCTGTCCCACCTGGTGTCCGCCTACCTGGATGTCCTAATCAGCCACCCCGCAAGGCTCTCTGGCCCACATATGTTTTTCTTCCCTTCCTGAGCTCCAGCCAGGCCACCAGAAGACCACATACACTCAGGCAACAAATATAGTCAATCAGACTGAGATCATGGGGGCAGCTGACCAGTCTTCACCCCAAATTGAGCATTTGTACTTTACCAGCCCACCTCTAACTAGTATTTTCCAGTCTTTGCATTGGCCAGACCCACAGGCAATATCCCTGGAGTTGGCTCAGATGGGAAATGAACTTCTTGGATACAGCAAACCCGTTTGGCCTGACAGACAGGAGGACAGCCAGCACCCCAGCTGTAGGGAGACCACAGGCAAGCTCTGTACTGGGATCTCTCAACTCTATCACCTCCATTTCAGTACTTTTTTTTTCTCACTTGAACAAAAACTCTGAGATAGTAATTTAAAAAACAGCTGCATAATTGCAGCTAAACACAATCAAGTGTATAAAAGAATCGAGGCATATTTAAAAAATCTCAGTTTAGACCAACAAAGAAAACCATTGTTACTGTCTCCTCTGAGCCTGGGAAACACACAAGAGGACAAATTAAAATCGACAAATTGATTTCACTTACAGAAACTTCTAGTAACAGAGCAAACCACTGATTTTAATTTGCCTAATTATCTTATGACAAGTGTCAAATTAAGATGACACTTAAAGACCCTTGGCATTAACTTACTGATGGAGAAGAGTGCTCAGTAGTCAGTTCCCAGTGAGGTAATGAGATGCTCATCTTCAGAGAGATTCCAAGAAGGTATTTTTGATTCATTAAGATATTAAATAAAAAGCCCTCTTATGACTGGAACCCAAAATCAGTGGAGCAACATTAAGGCCACTTTTTGTGCCTCACTTTGGCAAGACAGCATTAGTTTTTAAAGGTACTTTTCATCAGTACTAAAGATTCGTGTCTTTAGTTACCTTAGCCTTAGCAGAATTTTGTTTTCCTCTCTTTCAGCAGGAGTCTTTTAGCAGGTGACTATGTATACATAAAAATCTTGATTTACAAAAAATAGTGCTGTGACCATCATTCCCTTGTTGCAGAAAAGTATGGAGGTGAATCTTTGCAGACTCATTTTTCGAACCTCCTTAGTGAAATAGTTTTATCCTTATTCCATAAGTGGATCTTTGATTTTATACCATTTCCTTGGCATCCAAGTTAAACCCTAGAATTTTCTTCCACAATGAGTTCTCTGCCATATCAGTGTCTATTTATTTCCACAAATACTCTAAGCATGGGAATACCCTCACACTAAATTTGAGGTTTCGTATCAGTTCCTTCTCCTTCACGCCCGTCTCCCCCCACCCGGCAGTGAGCGGCGCCGTGCCTGTCCAGCTCTGCCCTCTGCTCCTCCCAGGACGCCACTTACGGCTATCGCTTTCTTTTCTTCTTCACTTTGGCCACACTGTACAGTAACGTCCCAGAGCCCTTTCTACAGTGGGTGGTTTTGGTCTTTTTCTACCTTTTCGTCAGAGTCACTGCTGTTCGTCCCTGTCCACTGTGTAGCACTGTAATGACAGCCACCAAATCCTGAGTGCCAGTCTGTCGTCCCTCTTGTAGATGAAATAGTAAAGTAGAAAACCTAGTAAATTCTGAATGCTTTCCCACGTAGACTTATCTGGAATGTGAACACGACTCTTTGGTTAACAGTAAATGCTTAACTGTAGTCCTGAGTAGGTGCATTTCTGTCTGTCTCAATAAATTTTAATTTGTCTGCAACATCTGAGTGTTGTGTTTGTTCGTCTGCACGTGCACTCACAGGCCGTGTCCACGCCTGCTCTCTGGGGAACAGCATGGGCAGATAAAGGGGAGCCCCAGTGCAGGGTCCTCTGTTAAGGCTTCCGTACATGGTGGGGAGCGCCCTGCCGGAGGCCCAGCGTGTCCTGACCCCTCGGCACACCCGGGCCCTGTGCTTGCTCGGCCTAGAACCATATCACCTGGCCCTCTTTGGGCTGCCTTCTCCTGTCTCAGGCCCTGACTTGTTACTCAGTCCTCACCCATCAGGTTACTATTGTCACCCTGTTGACAACCTTAAGCTTTTATTTCTTATTCCTCCCTCCCCAGCTCCTCAGTTATTCTCCAGTTCTCTTGGGAAAGGAAAAAAACCCCTCCTTTACAGGAATTCTGAGTTCTCTTTCCCCATTCATGGATTGACACACAGATGCTTGTCAAACATCAGGAAGCGCCCAAATTGGAAGAGGAATTGCTTCCTTTCCACCTTTATCCACATTCAGGCTAGTATATCTATGACTTAATTATACTCTGAGTGAGTAATTTCACCACCAACTGAGGTAGAAACGATGTTATGAATAATTCCATTCCTTTACCCCATGGACTGGATTTTACAGACAATTTACAGATTGACAGTTTAAGGAAACGTGCTTCAGAAATCCGCAAAATAACTAATGTCAGGAGAGCAATGGCCAATATGAAGCCTCCAGGAGAGGCCGGGAGGTAAAAGGTACTGTAAAGAGCAGCTGGCATTTGTGGACACCCCAAATTCCTCTTAAATCAGCAGATTTACAGTCAAACCCCACAGGTCTCCTCAAGTCATGCCATCATGGAAGCCACCTTGATCCATTAAAGACCAGGACCAAAGGAATATTAGTTAAACAGCATGAGTAAAAAGGTCCCAGCACCTCTCAAAACTGTCGGTCAGTTGGAAAGTTTGCTTTGACAAACTGGCTCAAGAAAAGAGGAAGGTTTCAAAATGTATTCATTCAACAAGGCTTTAAAGATGAATGAGTACACTTGCAGATTTATAGATTAATGAGTGCTAGGTAGATGAATGCCGCTATGGGCAGGCACCACATTCAGTGCTAGGAATATAAAAGTAAAGTAAGACCTGGGGCCTGCTCTGTACAGTTATCTCTTCGAAAAAGAGATAACTACTACAGTATAGGTTGGTGGATGTCATAGTTGACACCAATGGCTATCGCACCCTTGTTAAAGCTTGCCTTTCTTGGTTTCTTATATCCATCCTTACCTGGTTTTCATCCTATCTCTCTGGCCATTCCTTTTAGGTCCATATATCCTTTTGTTCAACCAGTCCTGTTCATGTCGGTGTTCCTCAGATCTGTGTCCCTGGCCTATTTCTCTTTAACGTTACATGCTTTCTCCAAACAGTCTGTTAGTGGTTTCAAGCAACTCCTCCACTTGGAGAAGCCCCAGTCTATGTCTCAAGTGTAGGTTTCTCTCTGCTCCATTCTGAAATCATCACCTGACATGTGGATAATTCTACTCAAATTTCCCATTGATACTAACATTTTAAACCTTACAAAATCAAAATGAGAGAATGAAATATAGAGTGAATATGCCTATGACAATAGGGGTCAGCAAGGCTTTTTTTAAAAAACAAGTCCTAGCATACAAGAGCCATGAAGGAATAGATGAATAAATTTTCCTCCATCAAAATTAATTAGCACATGAACAAATTTCAAAGATAAACAAGAAACTAAAGATACTGATGACATAAAACAGATGCAGGGTTAGGATATAAAGTTTTTTCAACTCCTACAAATCCATAAGGAAAATATAGTTCAACAGACTGATGGGAAAAGACAAAAACAACTGATCCATACAAGACGCACAGATGGCCAAGAACGCGATAACCTCAGTCATGACCAGAAAAACAAATTAAAGCAATTATCTCTCAGTCTGACTTAGAAAAAATATATCATGATCATGTCTTGTGTTGAGAGTGCAGTATAAGGAACACTCTTGGACACTATGCACTCAAAACAACCATGTGGAGCGCAATTTGGTAATAACTATATAAATGAGAGTAAACACCCTAGGACCCAGTAATTCCACTCCTCAATAATTACTCTTAGAGGGGAAAAAAATCATACTAGTTTACAAACATATGTGTTAAATGTATGTATGTCCTTTGTAGCATCATTTATTAGAACAAAACATTTGGTACAAAACTAAATATCCATCAGTGGGCAGACTGGACGATTCTCTGCCCTGGAATACTATGCAGCAGTCAAAAATAACGAAGTACTTTCATATGCGCTGACTTAGCAAAACTTCTAAAACATCAGTTGTATGGGGGGAAAAAATCAAGTGATACAGAGTATGAAACATGTAAGTCAGATATGTAAAAGGCAAGACTATCCATCTTCTCTAAGTATGGAAATACATAAAACAAGGCCTAAAAGGACACACACCAAGCTGGTAGCAGGAGTGACCTCTGAGGAAAGGACTCCAATTTGCTCTGATAGCCAATGGGGGTATGAGCCTCATCCCCATGTTTCACTTTTATTTTTTATCACAAAAGCAATACACCACAATGTCTTCTGTGACTTTAAAATAATTCATCAGCTTCCTCTTCAAATTTTCTCCTCCTACACTCCTTGATTTCAGGAATGGCACCACCATCTACACCCCTCTCCTCAACTCCCAACCTGCAATAAGTCACCAAATTCTGTCAATTTTTCTTTCTAAATATCTCTTCTGCTTTATCTCAACACCACTGTCATGCTTCTGACCACTGCCATCTCTCTCGACTGTCCTAGGAACATTTGTGACCCTGCCTGATTCTCGCCCAGCTCCAATGCATCCTACATGCTGCTGCTGCTGCCAGAATAATTTATTCTTAAAGGCAAATCTGATCATGTCACTGACCTACTTAATTTTCAAGGTTTCTCATCACTTTCAGGACCAAATATAAACTACTTGGCATGGCAGATACGTTCCTTTGTAATTGATTCCTTTGCACCTCTTTGTTCCCTCACATGCCTCACTTCTCAAATTCTAATTTTTTCCCTGAGCACCTCCACCCTTCTCAAGCTTGTGCCTGTGTTCCTGATAGTTCCTTCACCTGTGCAGCCTCGGACTCTCAGCTCAATTACTGCTCCTCTAGGAACTCTTCTCAATTACTCTGAGAAGCAAGAAATGTTAAATGGAGTCCTTCAGGCTGAAGTGAAAGGAAGCTAGACAATAGCTCAAAACTATATGAAAGCATAAAATTCTCTGGTAAAGGTACACACGTGGAAAATATTTTAAAACCAGTATTGTAATTTTGACTTGTAACACTTTTTATTTTCTACAGTATTTAAAAGATAAATGCATAAAAATCACAATAAATCTATGTTATATATATCTCTATACATAAATAAAGAAAGCATAATACATAACTACGTAATCTGTGATGTCAATAAGATAAAGAGGAGGGATGAAGGTATAAAAGAGTAGTTGTTATATGCAATTGAATTTCAGGTCTTACCAATTCAAAATAGACTTTTATAATTTTAGGATGCTATATGTAATCTCCATGGTAACCACAAATAAAGTATTTATAGAACAGTCACAAAAGTAAATGAGGGGCAAATCAAGATGTGTCAGTACAAAACAATTAACTAAACCTAAAGGAAGAAGGCAGTGATGAAGGAAATAAAAACAAGAAAGCTCTAAGATATGCAGAAAATAAGTAACAAAATTTCAAAAGTAAGTCTTTATCGATTATTACTTAAGTGCAAGTGGATTAAATTCCTTAGTCAAAAGTCACAGATCAGCAGAATGGATTAAAAAAGTCAAATGAAAACATGATCCATCTATGTGTTGTCTATAAAAGACTCACTTTAGATATAAGGAGAAAAATAGGTTGCAACTGAAAGGATACGGGAAGGTATTTCATGAAAAGAGTTACCAAAAGAGGGAGAGAGTGGCTATACAGGTATCAAACAAAACTGACTTTAAGTCAAAAACTCTTACAAGAGACAGAATGGTATGATAAAAGGGTCAAATCACCAGAAAGATATAAAAATTTTAGACATATATGAAACAAAAGTTAAACCTACAGAATATATGAAGATAATAAAGACAGCCTTGTAAAGAGAAATAGCCCTAAAATAACAGACTTCACTAGCCCACTTTCAGTAACAGAATTAGACAGGAGATCAATAAGGAAAGAAAGGACTTGAACAACTTTTTAAACCAATTGGACCTAACAGACATATACAGAGTATACTATCCAACATCAGCAAAATACACATTTCCTAAGTGTGCACCTGAGCATTCTCCAGGATAGAGCATATGTTAGGCCACAAAACTAGTCTGTCTTATTGTTTTAAGGTTTTAAACTGTAAATTCGATTTTAAAAGATTGCAATCATACAGCATCTTTTCCTATCACAATGGAATGAATCTAGAAATCAGTAACCAAAGAAAAGCCAGAAATTTTACAAATTAGTAGAAATTAAACACTCCTAAACAACCAATGGGTCAAAGAGAGATCACAAAGGAAATTATAAAATACCTTGAAATAAATGAGAATGAAAGCGCAACATACCAAAACTTACAGGGTGCAGCAACAGCAGTGCTAAGAGGGAATTTTATAACTCTCTTTATATGGTAACATTCAAAAAGATCTCAAATCAACAATCTAACTTTATACTTAAGTAACTAGAAAAAGAGTAAAATAAACCCAAAGCTAGCAGAAGGAAATAAAGTTTAGAACAGAGATTAAAAAAAAAACAGAAAATTAGAAAAAGTAATGAAATCAAGAGTTGGTTTTCAAAAAGACTAACAAAATATAGCTAGACTAACAGCAACAACAAAAAAGACTCAATATAATTAGAAATGCAAGTAGGGGACATTACTACTCATTTTATAGAAATAAAAAAGATCGTAAGAGAGTGTTGTGAACAACTGTACAACAAACTGAGTAAGTTAAACAAAATGAACAAATTCCTACAAAGATACAACTGCAA